TTGTTGGAGCCACTGCGTTAGTCCATCTCATTGAAGGGCTTCCTCTTTTTCACTGACCCTTTACTTTACCAAGCATACCCTTCTCCAGAGATCGTGCCTGTCTGACAACATGGCCAAAGTACAAGAGATGAAGTCTTGCCATTCTCACTTCTAAGGATCATTCCAGCTGTACCTCCAAGAAAGATTTGTTTGTTCTTCTGGCAGTCCATGGTGTAGTCAATATTCTTAGTCAATCCACAATTCAATTGTGTCAGTGCTTCTGTGGCCTTCCTTATTTTCTGCCCGGCTTTCACAAGCATATGAGGCAATTGAAAATACTATGGCTTGGGCACAGCTTAGTGTTCAAAGTGACATCTTTGCTCTTTAACACTTTCAAGAGGTCTTTTATAGCAGATTTGCCAGTGCAATACATCATTTGCTTTTATGACTGCTGCTTCCATGGCATTGTTTGTGGATCTTAGTAAGATGAAATCCTTGACAACTTCAATTTTTTCTCCATTTATCATGATGTTGCTTATTGATCCAGTTGTGAGGACTTTTGTTTTCTTTATGCTGAGGTGTAATCTTTGATCTTCTGAAGGTTATAGTCTTTAATATTCATTAGTAAGTGCTTTAAATCTTCTTTACTTTCAGCAAGTAAAGTTGTGTCATCTGCATGCCACAGGTTGTTAATGAGTCTTCCTTGAATTCTGATAGATTGTACTATTCATATAGTACAGCTTCTCAGATTATTTACTCAGCACACAGATTGAATTAGTATGGTGAAAGGATTCAACCCCAAGACAAACCTTTCCTGATTTTAAACCATGGAGTATCACTTTGTCCTGTTTGAATGACTGCCTCTTGGTCTATGTACCGGTTCCCCATGAACACAAATAAGTGTTCTGGAATTCCTATTCTTGGTAATATTATCTATAATTTGTTAAGATGAAGGCACAGATGCCTTTGCATAGTCAATAAAGCATAACCAGTTTTCTGGTATTCTCTGCTTTCTGTCAAGATCCTTC